AATGCCACGTGTCAGCATCCGCTTGGATCCCATTGGGCCTTTCTGGAGCTGACACGTGTCATCTTACTATTGGCCCACGTGGCATAGGGTTTTTTACCCCAAACATTTGCTCCTCACAGGTGTGACGTGACTTGCCACGTGGCACCTGTGACACGTGTCACATTCTGGGAAGGTGACAGTTCGTCTCCTTCCCTCCATTTTTTTTTTGAATTCAAATTTCGAATTTGAATAGGAGGAGGCGACAATTCACCTTCTTCCCCCCTCCTATAAATGGGAGAATTCCCCTCTCATTCCGTACTTTGCAAATTTTTCACAAAAAATTTCTTTGAGAGAAAAAAGAGCTCTAACACCGGCTGCTTTTGCGTTCACCTAGCTACTTCGATTCAGACATGTTCGGATACCGGTTGAGTGCTTGTTTGATCAACTCACTAAGGTACTGTCTGACTTAGTCAACTTTCTCTTCTTGATTTTATTAGACCCACAGCCGGTCTTATACCGTCTAGGGCACCTTTAGGCAATTTTTTTCATAAATTGCATTCAATAGACCCACAGCCGGACTTATACTGCCCGGGGGCATCTTTAAGCAATTTATTTTCATAAATTGCATTCAATAGACCCACAACCGGCCTTATACCGCCTGGGGCGTCTTTAAGCGGTCTTCTTCAAAAATTACATTTAATAGACCCACAGCCGGGCTTATGCCGTCTAGGGCGCTTTTGAGCAATTTTCTTTATAACTACTTTTAATAGACCCATAGCCGGTCTTATACCGTCTGGGGTATCTTTGAGCAATCTTCAAAAACTGCATTCTATAGACCCTCAGCCGGTCTTTGATAAGTGGCATTTATGCCACTATTCGGGATCCTTTTTCCTACCATTTCCCTCCATTTATCGCTTGTTTAGCCCTATTTTGCCGCGCTTCTCCATATATTGCACAACAATGATATTTCCCTCGTACTTCCCCTTTACTTTACCTTTTTGTACTGTTTTTGGGTGTTTTCCTGTGTTTTGCAGGTAAACCAATCGATACGTGAAGTAGAAGAAAGTTCGAGATAGTTTCGAGAGCCGGTTTCATGAGCAAATCAAGTGAGGAGCTTCTAATCAGGCTGCGAGCCCAGGAGAGCCCTCTCTCCTACTCTGCGCGGGCACGCAACCCAAGGGAGAGGGCGCGCATTCAAGGCCAAATCAGGATGTATACCTCGTAGATGCCTCGCGCCCTGTAGAAGGCGCGCTCATCATCCTGCGCAGGCGCGATGATTCCTGGAGAAGGCGCGCAGATTAGCTTGAACTCTTGAAGATACAAGGCAACTTTCTGTAGATGCCAAGCGCGCTCAGTAGAGGGCGCGCAGTATACGTCGCGGGCCCACAGATCTTAGTAGAGGGCGCGCACAATGAAGTTCGCGAGCACGCAGACCTTAGCAGAGGGCGCGCACATCATCCTGCGAGGGCGCGCGAAGAGCTGTAGCGGGCGCGCACGATGTCAGCCTAGCCCGTTTTTTATTTTACCACTTAAAAGCTGATTTGAAAGGGAAAAAAGGCAGCTATTCCATTTAGGGCAAAGTGCTTAGAACATTTCTAGAGAGAGAATAGCCTCCATTAATCCTTGTATAAGTTTCTAGAGAGAGAAAGTTCAGATTATTAGTTTTTTATCATCCAAACTTTAGTTTTTAATATAGATTAGTGCTTTGATCATCCTTGTAATCAATATTGGAGCGTTTTATTGGATTTTTGGTGGTTCACCATTGAAGGTTCAAAAAACCCACTTTCTTATTTCAATACAAAGTTGAAGCATTGTAAGCTCTTTCTATCTTAATCTCTTTTATTTTGGTTTATTTACATATTTCAAGTATTATTGATAGTTATGTTTATGATTTTGATTATGGCCAATATTTTGGGTATTGTTGATATGAGTAGTTTCTCTCTCCTAGGCTAGACTTTTAGCTAGGGGAAGGGGAATGGATGACTTGGTTGCTATTTGATTAAATATTTGATTTTTGGGGATTTAAACCCTTGTTGTATGAACTTGTTCTTATTGTTATATGGTTGATGTTATGCACCATTGACTATATTATTACATGTCCTAATTGATGCGCGGGAGTGATCATGTTAGGATAGATCGTAGTTTATACATTTCTTAATCAATTGCATGGGAATGAGTTGTGTTAAGTAGGATCTTTGATCCCTTGTTTGTGAATCCTTGATTATCTATGTGTTTAGCTCTTAATCTCCAAGTTTGACGTTCCCCAATCCCCCTAGCGTTTCTAATCTCATAGTTTCCAATACTTGTTAGTCTTTGTTAATTGTTAGAGTAATTTTGTTAGCCTTAGTTTATTTATTGCCTTGTTTTCCACCTCTCTTATTCATATATACCCCTTTTTAATCCTCTACTATTAGCACTTAGCTTTGCAATCTCCCGTTTCTCCGTGGATCTTGACCCTTGCTTGCCTCTATACTCCTTTAGGTAAACTAGGATTAATTTGATAGGAAGGTTTATTGACGACGACATTTCATTCCTCATCAAATTTTGGCGACGTTGCCGGGGAAGCGGCTTATTTTGCACTTTTATTTGCGTTATTAGTGGATTTGTTGCTTTTTATTTTGTTCTTTTTCCACTTGTTAGTCATTGCTAATTGTTTGCTTAGCTTTGGTGAATGCAAAGAGGATCTCAAGGACCACCTACTCACAACATTGATCATGAAATCGACCGCACCTTGAGACAAGTCCGTAGACTTTATCAAGAAGAGGGGCGAGGTTTTGGTGCCATTTTTTATAGTGAAAGTGATTCTTGGTCCTCACATTCCCAAGGTGACGAAATGGCGGGACAACAAGCGGATGTTTTATTTCGTGAGTTCGGTAATCCGGAGGATTATGAGCTCGCCGGTGGGATATTGCTACTCGTCACGGAAACTAACTTCACCATCCATCCTCAATACACTCAAATGGTTCAAGTGGAGAAATTCTCGGGTTCGCCAAGTGAAGACCCCATTGAGCATCTTGATAGATTTCTTGAACTTTGTGCCATGATACAAACCAACCAAGTTTCTCAAGAATACATTCGGATGCACCTATTTCGGCAATCTCTTGCGGGGAGGGCAAAGAAGTGGCTCAAGCAAGTCAAGCCTAATTCTTTCACAACATGGAGGGAAATTGTCCAAGCATTTTTGAAAAGGTTCATCTCCGAAGAGAAAACCGCCGACATGAGGAGGAAGATAGCATCTTTTGAACAAGAGGCGGAGGAAAGCCTTAGTGAAGCTTGGGGAGAGGTTTAAAGAGTTGGTGCAAGCATGTCCTCACCATGAATACAATCAAAGCTTACTCATGAGGTTCTTCTATGATGGCTTGGAACTGATGTCTCAAGCTAATTTGGATGCGGGGGCGGGTGGACAATTGATCAAAGTCCCTCAAAATCAAGTCGAATCAACAATTGAAGAGGTAGTCAAAAACTAATCTTGGGGAGGTAGAAGGAGGAATGCGCCAAAGAAAGGTGGAAAATATGAGTTGGAAAAAGTTGACCAATTGCAACATCAAATTGAGCTTTTGACAAAGGGGCTCGCAAAGTTGAACACCAATGTCACTAGTGGTGCAAGCTCCTCCCAAGTTAACTCTTTCTCTTGTCAAAATTGTGGTGGCACAAACCATGATACATCCTATTGTGGAGGTTTAAGCCCGAAGCATGTAGCGGCTTACAACACAAGGCAAGAAGGATTTAAGGGAAATGGAGGAGGAGTAGCTTGGAGACAACCACCACTCGGATTTGGAAACCAACCCCAACAATGGAATCAACAATGGAACCAACAAAAAGCTCAACAACCATACAATTCCAACCTTCAATACCAAAACCCTCCTCCATACCAAAACCAATATCAAAACCAAAACCCAAGAGGAAACTACCCTAAGAACCATCAACAAAATATCCAATACCAATACCAAAATCAAAACCAAGCAACTCAAAGAAGTCAAGAGCAAGTGTCTCAACCCGATTCTACTCAAACCCAAATTCTTCAACAACTTCAAGCCATGAACCAACAAATGCAAGAAGTTAAGGCCCATAACAAGATGGTTGATTCACAACTAGCTCAATTGGCCGAGAGGGTTCCTTTCAACCCACCATCTACTCTACCCGGGCAAACACAAACTAACCCTTCCAACATTGTGAAACCCGACTCTTGCAAAGCAATCACATTAAGATCGGGCACATCCTATGAGGGTCCTAAGGAGGGAGTTAGTCAAGAAAAGAAGGGAGAAGAATAGGTAGTTGGAGAGAAGAAGAATGATGAGAAAGAGAGTAGTATGGAGAAAAAGAAGTCTAAGGATGTGGTAACATCCTCAACTTCTAGTGAAGCTAGAAATCTTGATGGACCGGTTCCTTTTCCCGGTCGACTTGCGGAGAGAAAATTGATTGACAAATTTTCAAAGTTCCTAAGTGTGATGAAGAACTAGCACATAAACCTCCCCTTCATTGAGGTAGTCACACAAATGCCTTCATACTCCAAGTTCTTGAAAGACATTCTCACTAACAAGAGGAAGCTCAATGATGAGCTTATCACTCTTCCCCATCAAGTGAGTGCACTTGTTCAACACAAAATGCCCAAGAAGCAAAATGATCCGGGAACCTTTACCTTGCCGGTCAAGATTGGGAACATGGAAGCTAGGGGTGCCTTAGCCGACCTTGGAGCAAGTGTTAGTTTGATCCCTCTATCCATTGCTCAAAAGCTTAACATTGAGATGATCCCCACAAGGAAAACCATTCAATTGGCCGACCGTTCGGTGAAGCTACCTTGTGGTGAGCTTGAAGATGTCCCTATTCAAGTTGGGCATATCTATGTGCCTTGTGACTTTGTAGTGATGGATATGGAAGAAGATGTGGATACACCTTTGATTTTGGGCCGTGAAGCTCTTAAGACCTTAGGGGCGGTAATCAATTGCAAGAACAACACCATTACATGCGAGGTAGCCGATGAAAAAATTGTCTTTGAATTCTCTAAGCTCCTCAAGACCCCCATGGTTGAGAAGTGCTATAGGGTTGATGTTGTAAATGAAGAACTAGATCGTTTGGGAAGGGTTATGATGAGTCCTCAAGATCCAATGGTTGAAGCTCTCACTTGTGAGGAAGAGTACTTCTCTCAAGAAGCAAAGGAGTTTTCTATGGCCATTGAAGAAGCCAAAGAGGAGGAAGCGAGTGATTCCAAGCATGATGAGCTAGAACATGAGGAGGAAAAATTGGAGGAGAGTTCTAAGCCTCCTCCCAAGGTAGAACTCAAACCCCTTCCCCCTTCTTTGATATATTCTTACCTTGGAAATGAAGGGGAATACCCTATTATTGTCAATGCTTCCCTTAATGGTCTTGATTTGGAAAAATTGATTGTTGTTTTGAGAAAGTATAGAAATGTGATAAGGTATAGCATTGATGATATCAAGGGTATTAGCCCTTCTTTGTGCATGCATCGTATTCACCTTGAGGATGATCAATCCACCTCCATTGAGCCTCAAAGGAGGTTGAACCCCAACCTCCAAGAGGTTTTCAAGAAAGAAATTTTGAAATTGCGTGAAAACGAGAATAATCTATGCTATCTCCGATAGCAAGTGGGTTAGCCCGGTTCACGTGGTTCCAAAAAAGGGTGGAATGACCATTGTCAAGGGAGAAGGAGGAGAGGAAATCTCCACCCGGACGATGACCGGGTGGAGGATGTGCATTGGTTATAGGAAGTTGAATAAAAATACTAAGAAAGATCATTTTCCTCTCCCCTTCATGGACCAAATGTTGGAGAGACTCTCTCATCATGCTTTCTTTTGCTTCTTGGATGGATATTCCGGCTTTTTCCAAATTCTTATCCATCCAAGTGATCAAGAGAAAACCACTTTTACATGTCCATATGGGACATTTTCATACCGAAGAATGCCATTCGGGTTATGCAATGCTCCCTCAACTTTCCAACGATGCATGACTTCCATTTTTTCTGAAATGCTTGAAAATGAAATTGAAGTTTTCATGGATGACTTTAGTGTTGGTGGCTCGTCTTTTGACACATGTCTTTATAATCTTGAAAAAGTTTTGAAAAGGTGTCAAGAGACGAGTTTGGTATTGAACTGGGAGAAATGCCACTTTATGGTCGAGGAAGGCATAGTCCTAGGCCATAAAGTATCAAAAAAGGGCATAGAAGTTGATTCGGCAAAGGTTTCGGTGATTTCCAAGTTGCCCCCTCCTACTTCCGTTACGGGAGTAAGAGCCTTTCTGTTACGGGAGTAAGAGCCTTTCTAGGGCATGTCGGTTTTTACCGGAGGTTTATCAAAAAAATTTCATCAATTTCCAAGCCTTTGACCGAATTGCTCAAAAAGGATGTTATATTTAGCTTTGATGAGGCTTGCCTTAAGGCGTTTCAAAAACTCAAGGAAGCCCTCATTTCCTCTCCCGTTGTGCAATCTCCGGATTGGAGCTTGCCCTTTGAACTAATGTGCGATGCTAGTGATCTTGCAGTAGGTGCCGTGCTTGGACAAAAGAAGGAAGGTTGATCCTATGTCATCTACTATGCAAGTAGAACACTTGACGAAGCTCAAAGGAATTATACCACAACGGAAAAGGAAATGTTAGCGGTTGTCTTTGCCATAGATAAGTTCCGGTCTTACCTCATATGCTTAAAGGTGATCGTGTACACGGATCATGTAGCGGTTCGTTATCTCATGACCAAAAAGGAAGCAAAACCGCGTCTTATCCGTTGGGTTCTTTCGCTACAAGATTTTGATATTGAGATGAGGGATAAAAAGGGAGCGGAGAACTATGTAGCGGATCACTTGTCTAGGCTTCCTTTTGAGAATAAGGAAGATGTTCCTATCAATGATGAAGTGGGGTTTGAGACCCTCATGGCTATGGTGTTAACATCAAGCCCTTGGTATGCGGACATTGCCAATTATCTAGCATGTGGAGTCATTCCCCCAGAATTCTCCTCTCAACAAAGGAAAAGATTTTTCAAGGAAGTGAGGAGGTATTTTTGGAATGATCCTTATTTGTTCAAGCAATGTGGAGATGGCCTTTTCCAGAAATGTGTCCCGGATCATGAGATCGAGGGGGTTTCTTGAACGTTGCCACTCATTGCCGTGTGGAGGGCATGGAGGAGTTGAAAAGACCGTGGCCAAGATCTCTCAATCTCTTCTTTGGTGGCCAACAATGCACAAGGATGCCCATAAGTTCATTGCAAGGTGTGACAAGTGCCAAAGGAGTGGCGGCATAACCAAACGTGACGAAATGCCTCAACAAAGCATTTTGGAGGTTGAGCCCTTTGATGTTTGGGGGGTCGACTTTATGGGGCCTTTTGTTTCTTCTTGTGGAAATCTCTATATCTTGGTGGCGGTGGACTATGTGACCAAGTGGATCGAAGCTATACCCTCCCCCACCAATGACCACAAGGTTGTGCTCAAGCTCCTTAAGAAGGTTATTTTCCCGCGATTCGGGGTTCCAAGAGTTCTAATTAGTGATGGTGGTTTTCATTTTGCCAAGAAACAACTCGAAGCTCTCCTCAAACGATATGGGGTTCATCACAAAATCGGCCTACCTTACCACCCCCAAACTCAAGGACAAGTGGAGGTATCAAATAGGGAGATCAAGAACCTCCTTTAGAGGATGGTGAACAAGTCTAGAAAAGATTGGTCTCTCAAACTCGATGATACTCTTTGGGCCTTAAGGACGGCATACAAGACCCCCATTGGTACAACCCCTTACCGGTTGGTTTATGGCAAGGCTTGTCATTTGCTTGTCGAGTTGGAATACAAGGCTTGGTGGGCCATCAAGGAGCTTAATATGGACCTTGGGGAAGCCGGAAAGAAAAGATTGATGAAATTGAATGAATTAGAGGAGCTTCGTTTCGATGCGTATGAGAATTCAAGGCTTTATAAGGAGCAAACAAAGAAGTGGCACGATCAAAGGATAAAGTTCAAAGAATTCAAGGTTGGAGATGAAGTTTTACTTTTCAACTCTAGACTTCGTCTTTTCCCCGGAAAATTGAAATCCAAGTGGTCCAGTCCTTTCAAGATTTCTAATGTTACTACCTATGAGTCCTTTGAGTTAGATGCGGGTAATCATAAGTTTTGGGTTAACGGACACCGCATCAAACTCTATCATTCAAAGAACGAAGTTGGTCGTATTGAGTGCCTTAGGCTTGATCCCATGGATTACGAGCCTTCCCTTGTAGAACTTTAATGAATCGGAGCAACGGTCAAGCTAATGACCTCAAAAAGAAGCGCTTCTCGGGAGGCAACCCGAGCCCCTTTCTCCCTTTTATCCTTTGAGTTTTTTATTTTTTGTAATTAGATTTTATGATTGGATCTAATCCCTAGTTGTTTTTATTGTAGGTTAAGTAGGCCTAAGGAAGGAGCACAATGAAGAGGATTAACGACATTCACGAGCGTTTGATGATCTCGGGATGAGAGCTCTCGAAGCCAATTCCGTAATTATAGGAGTATTGTCGTTTTGAACTTGAACTTTTATATGTTTTTAATGGTTTTGTAATATTGGTAAACAATTTAGTTTGATGTGTTAGGAATTTTTAGTAGAGTTAGAGAGCATTTTGAGATTGATGGTAGGAGGAAAAATATTTTGTAGATGCCTTGAGAGGGCTCTACAGGGCGCGCAAGTGTTCAGGCCAACTGAAGAAGGTTTCTGTAGATGGCAAGAGAGCCCTCTACAGGGCGCGCACAATTTCTGAAAAAGGGCCAATGTTTCTGTAGATGGCCTTCGCGCCCGTGAGAGGGCTATCTCGCAGGTCTGCGCGGGCGCACAGGTGATTTGCGCAGGCGAGTTGCGCGGGCGCGCACGATTCCAATTCACAAAAACGCAGGTATGCTTCTTTCATCCTCATTTTCACTCTCACGCTCTAACTTCTCTCTCCTAAACCCTAACCTCCATTACTAACCTCCATCATACCTCAAAATCTTCACCTTTCCTCCCCAAATCTCCCTAAAAAATTCATCAAACACTCACCATAATCTCACTTTGCATATTTTTGCTCATCAAAAACCCTTGAATCTCACCCAAGAGATTTCAAGAAAAACCCCAATCTCCCACTGCACGATTTGAACCTCCTAGGTGGAGTTTTTGTTCGAATTTTTCATCTTCAAGAAGGTATATCTAACTTCCTAAGCCTAGTTTTCATTACATTTTGATAGAATCATGATAGGCTTCTTGAATTTGTGATGTTTGTGGGAGAAATTTTGGACTCAATTGAAATACATGTGGTATTTTTGCAATTCTTATGATAATATTGACATGTATATGAGTACTCTGGCAAATATGTGATTCTAATTAAATACTTGTGGATGATTTGCAATTTTTTGGGATTTTCTTGAAATAGTTAGGGAATTGTGAATTGTTAAATATAGGTATTTGTGGGTTTATGATATGTAAATTGTTGGCCATGAATTTCACGATGAGTGTGAGTAGTTTGGGAATTTTGAGAATTGTTTGGGTGATGTATAAATCTCATGAGCTCCTTGCCTATTGACTAACTTTGTTACGTTGTTGTATTCGTTGTGCTAATTGTTGTTTTGTAGGATTTCACTTGATAGTGCATTTGAATCTTTGGGTTGGTACTCTTCGAACTGTGGTTTGGATTGATAATTTCGGTGTTTTGGTGTGGAATTCCTTGTGGTATAAGTTTTTGAGAAGTGTTTGGGGCGAAAATGTTGAAATTTGGTAGAAAACGATCAAAGAGCGGGAAGGAACCACAACCTTCCCAATCTTCCCAATCCCAACAAAATCAACCAACTCTACCCCCTCTTACCTTCCAGAATAACAACCAACGAAGCCAATTACAAAAAAATGAGAGAGAGGAAGCTTAGACCCTCCAAACACTATCACTGTCCTGCCACCACAAGCTTAGGTGTTGACGAAGACATTTGGGTACTCTTTGAAAACCTCAATTTGGGTACCTTTGTGAACTCGGCTTTCAACACCTACCTTGAGCCAACTCTTGAATTATTTTCCACTTTCTCCAGTGAAGCTGTGGGGGATGATGACTTCAGAGTAACCTTCCAGCTTTTTCAACAAAACTCATACACTATCCTTGAGTGAACTCAACATTGCCCTGGACTTTAATCCGGATGCCAACCTTGTCGCTCCCGAGAACTCCTCCTTCGAAGGTTATTAATGAAAGACATTGGTGGAGGGGGATCACGGGAAAAGAAGAGTTCAAACACCCGTTACTCTTTTAGCTAGTGAGATAGTTCACCCGGCCCTAAGAATCCTGCATCGTATACTTGGATACGCTATTTTCAACAAGCAGGATTTAGGGAAGATGTCTAGAGAGGAAATTCTCACTCTGTGGTTCACTACTCAGCCCACCTTAGGCCGAAGAGTGAACTTGGGCTACTTCTTCATCAAAAATTGCTTATCAATTGCCAAGGGGAAGAAAGACCAGCGAAATTGCCTGTGGGAGTATGGTAACAAGGTTAAGCCTTGAAAGCTTGGGCATGGGGACCTCCTCCCCTCTTTCACTATGGTTGGGAATAGCGGTGACATCCTTCTCAATCTCGATCAATTTAAAAGGTTGGGATTCATTGCCTTCACCCCTAGAGAGGGAGTTTATGATTGGTTGGTGTCTTATTGCACACCGTTGCTTTTTCCCAAACCCGGATCTTACCTCCTTCCAAAGGGAGTCCAGAAACATCTACTGGGTTAGAAGGGACAATGGTGTCCTTCCTGGAGCCGATCGAGGAGAGGGCCTTGTATTTGAGCAGGATGATGAGGAGATGGTGGATCAACAACAACAACAACAAATCAACACAACAACAACATCAACATCAACAACAACAGCAGCAAGCAGTTCTTCCAAAGCCAAGGCTTGGAAAGCCTTGAGCAGCGAATGGGAGCCTCTAGTTGGGTGTTCAAAGCCTATTTGAAACCCAGCAAGGTATGTTTCTCCAACAGCAGTCTATTTATATGCATGTAGATAGAGGCGATGTCACGCCTCCGGTCAATTATCCATATTGGCCTCCCCAGCATGGCCCAGTGCCATCGTGGGGGGGGTGACAACGCCCCTACCTACCCCTATTGGAAAGGACCTTCCGAGCCAAATAGGGTGCGCCATGATTTCCCTACGCATCCGGTCCTATGATTATAGGTTTCGGGTGGTAGTGATTATAGGGGTGATCCCAATTACCCCTATGTTGACCCCACCCACCCCCAACCCCTAACCATGCCCCCCAATTCGACCCGTTGCCTACTTGGCAACAAGACCTCTTCGAGGTCATTATGGTTGGCCTCCAGGCTACACTGGAGGTTGGGATCCCCACGGCCCACCTGACGGCTTCTCCTACGGGGATAAGGGGCCGACTCCGGTGATGCTGGCCCTAGTGGGCACTAGCCCCCTGTCCTTCCCTTCCCTTGTTTTGTCTTGGAGCAACGAGGTCGTTACTCCTTCTAAGTGTGGGGGGGGGGGTATAAGTGTTAGGAGTCGATTTTTTGTATATAAGGGGCTTGCATCACTATAGTGTGGGGGGGAAATCTTAGCTTGCTGTCTATTTCCGCTGCTTTTATTTGATATCCTGTTGTTTTTGCTGTTTATGATGAGAAGATCTAATCCTTTGTATATAGTTTATGCTCCTTTTCTTTCTTTCTTTTTGGTGTGTTTTCCTTGTCTCACTGATGCAGATTGAAGAAGGAACTTCAAAAACAACTCACCCGCGCTTCAAATTGCAAACCCGATGGTGAGTATGGTATGACTGCGCATTCCAAATTCAAGCGGCATTCGGTGAGACCCTTCCTTTTTTCTTTTTGGTGTGTTTAGTTTTTTTTCTTCTTACTAGGAAGGAGTTGAATGGTTCGAGGATGTTTGCATGCGGTTCCAAGGAACCTGGGATCGTTGGTATTGATACCGAACGATCACTTGTATGTCGATTGGGATTTATTTGAATCTTTATGCCTCATATGTGAACCCTCTTTACTCCTTTCTTTTGTTTCATTTCCTTTTTTTATTTGTGATAAGCGTAATTATGGCATGATGATATAGTGGTATTTTGGAACTTGCTTACTACATTCGGACTCTATCTCCGTGATGATGCACCTTAGAATGCTTGTTTCTTTGTTCTTAACTTTGTGATGAGATGCACATTTCGAGATTGTTGTTGATTGAATTAGTCGAGTCTTAGTCAAGGTAGCAAAGGCAAGAACTAGTGATGGCATTTGAACCCTTAGTTCACGGTTTTGTGGTAAGATGGAGTTGCTCCTCATAGTGGATTTGACGCCCCCTAGTTGGTAGTTGCTTACTCTTCTCGTCCCTAGTGAGGTTCATTTTGTTCATGCCTTCATCAATTTGTTGAGCGGTTTTTAGGATCCTCATCTATGCACGTTTGAATCCTTGTGTTGATTATTACTCCCAAGATCGTGACCTTGGACTTTTGGGGGAGGAAAAGGGCATCATTTCTCATTTTCATTTATATTTTCTTTTATTTAGTTACAAATTTGATTTTCTCTTTTGCATCAACCTCCTTGCCAACCAATTTGAGCCTAATGTTTCCCATTCTTGTCTCAACCCCATTACAAGCTTAACGACCTATGTTTTACCAACCCTTTTAGTTAGTGAAGCACTGGGCTTGTAAGGCTAGTATGAAGAGTGTAGTGGATATGAGCATGAACCTTTGATGAAATTGGTTTGGAGCAAATTCTTGAGATGAAAGTCTAAATTTGAGCATGAAAGAAAATTTGGGAAGTGTGATGCTTTGAGGTGATATGAGAAATTGATCTATCTTGTATATCCTTGAATAAAGTTAATGATGCGAATGAAATCAAAATGTTTGGATGTTCGTTTGAGTTGTGGTTATGTCTTGAATTTTGACCTTGAGGGCTGCCCTTCCTCTTGCTTCACTTAGGATTACCGCCACTATTTCAAATTGTTCTTCGACCTCTACCTTAAGCCGTGTCATTACAACCCTTGTAAAGCCCCTTAGACCTTAGAAGTACGTGGTCATTAACCGGTGGAGGGAGATGGTTTTCAACCCTATGGAAAGAGCATGTATAGATGAGATGTCGGGATGATCTTTTACCTCCTCAAAGTAATTCTTTTTTCCGGTTCCTTCGTGGAATCATGAGGAGCCACCTAGGGGGATGATTTGAAGCTAGTGGGGGGAACGCGGACCGTTCTAGAGGGGACTAGGGAGGAAGATGACTCATTAGTTCTCTATGCTTGGCTTAGACTTGATTCTTGCAATCTTTAGCATCTTGAGAAGTGCGTGCACCATTTAGTTGAGAATGACTAATATTCTTTGATGTTGTTTATCATGGTTGAGCCCGAATAAAGCAATTGTCCATCTTGAAATTTGATGTTGTTTTTTTTAAGCCATGCCGAATTATGTTTATCTTTGTAGTGTTTGATTTGTCTTTTTCTCCTTGGTTTTTGCCAAGAGTTGTGGGTAATCTCTTTGGAAACCTTCACGAGAGCATACTCGTCCTCATAGGCGACTTTGAGGTTTAAATGGCTTGTTGTTTGCGCTAAAAACAACCGTGATTCCTACGAAAGTGAGTTAGTGTATATTCTTGTGTCTTTCTTTTATTTTTAATCTTGGTTGTCTGCCTTTATTTCTAATTTGGTGGTGATCTTGCTTGAGGACAAGCAAGAGGTAAGTGTGGGGAATTTGATAAGTGGCATTTATGCCACTATTCGGGATCCTTTTTCCTACCATTTCCCTCCATTTATCGCTTGTTTAGCCCTATTTGCCGCGCTTCTCCATATATTGCACAACAATGCTATTTCCCTCGTACTTCCCCTCTACTTTACCTTTTTGTACTTTTTTGGGTGTTTTCCTGTGTTTTGCAGGTAAACCAATCGATACGTGAAGTAGAAGAAAGTTCGGGATAGTTTCGAGAGCCGGTTTCAATAGCAAATCAAGTGAGGAGCTTCTAATCAGGCTGCGCGCCCAGGAGAGCCCTCTCTCCCGCTCTGCGCGGGCGCGCAACCCAAGGGAAAGGGCGCGCATTCAAGGCCAAATCAGGATGTATGCCTCGTAGATGCCTCGCGCCCTGTAGAAGG